CAGCGATTCATCAAGTAATCCTTAAAACCTTGAGGAGGTTTTGGTTGAACTGGGAATAAGCCCTTTCGTCTTCTTTCGATCTGTAAAAGATAACAAAAATTTGCATCTACTTGGATGTATTCATTTCCTCTCTATTTAATATACTCTATTTAAATATACATATTTTAACTGATTTCATAATTTATTTTGATAGACAAATATAAAATAAAATGCCGAAATAATCAATTTAACGTGAACGCGAGTAAAAAATAAAAATGACCAAATGTCATGTTTTCATCCTAAGCATGTATAATCATATTGCAAATTTGAGTCTAGAAAAAAAAAAAAAAAAACAATTGTATTTGTGGAAAAACAATTGATTCATTACAGAAGTTATTATTGTCGTTTCTCCGTGATGCCCATTGCTTCTATCGCTGCGTTTATTTCGCGAACAGCTATCATCGCGAAGACAGATTATTTTGACAATTGTATACGTTGTATATGTTGTAAAAAGTTAATAGTGTAATAATATATTAATTTTTTCTTTAAAAAAAATATATAGCGCGCGCGTAACATCTATATCTTCTTTTAGAAAGAATATGTTAAGTCGATACTCGAATGTCTTAAAATTGATTATTAATTGCATATTATCTAATTAATTGCAATGTTGATTGGCTCTCTTGTTATGCTTACTTTATAAGCGACTATTGGGGAGATAGCATATTTTGCATATCATTTGTGTTGTATACAACTACATCATTACGGATACAAAGGTTACAAGTTATGTGAAAATATTTTATTTTGTATTTTCCTTGGACTATAACCGATTAAATATTAAAAATATATAATTATGTATGTAAATAATTTTCTCTATGTTGACAGCTATTCATAAAGTAGATAAATAGGTATTCATAGTCAAATCTTAATGCCATTCTACGATAAGTCATAAGTAATAGATGATCAGTCAGAAAATAAGAATTGACCAATCATATTCTTATTATATTCAATCTGTGATTGGTTAATTCTTAATTTCTGACTTATGATCTTAATATTATTAATAGCTTATTGTAGAAAGCCTATTATATTTAAAACAGTCTTAAGTAGTGTCTTAAGAAATTATTGACCAATCACAGAGCCGTATTAACATCTTGAGACATTGCTTAAGATAAGTCTTAAAATAAGAATCTACTATGAATATCAATAGCCATATACACAATTGTGATACAAATTGACAGAATTTTTCTGAATTTAAGATTAAAGTGTATCGTGATAAAAAATAAATTGCGCGTTGCTCGTTTATAGCTAAAGTTTTTAGCTTTATCTGTATGTTGTACATTTTAAAACATCTTTCTAAATTGTAAATATATTTAGTACTTTTAGATATTAGTAATTTTTTCGTATTTTATTATAAATATTGTTCAAATATATTGCGATATATTTTGAAGAATACTATAGAATCAAGTTTTTAAGCGTCAGTTCAGGACTAATATTGACTATTTTTGAATTCTTTTTGTTAATAAATATTAATATAATTAGCAATGTGTGAAGAGCTTAATAGGACTTGATAGAAATGTATATAACGATATATAATTACATATTATATTGATTAATATATTGTCAGCATCATATGGAGATTACGTCATCGTTAGAAATTGTATAACGTGCAAAATGTAATGTTTGAAATATATAATTATTTATTCGCAAAATGATTTCATGCGTGACTTGAAACTTAAATATTCTTTTTTTTTTTTTTTTTTTACCTGTTTCCTGATATTAAGAAATAATTGATAACAATTGGTAATTGGTTGATCATGTGGATGAATTTCTGGCCCTGTACTAGTAGTCTCGACTGTTTCATTAGCAGCAGCTGTAGCTGCGGCCTGTTGTGCCTCTTTACTTGGCTTCATTTTTCTCTTTCTGGGATGAAGCTCGACGGGTGGTGCTGGCGTATTAACGTTAGATATCGTTGAAGACGTAGTCGAAGAGATATTCTCCAAATTTTCCGCATTATTATCTTTTTGATTTTTTCCGGCAACGTCTGTATTTTTATCCGGTTTTTCCGTAGTTGTATTACATTTCGAGATGGCTCCTGTAATTGTGGATTCCGACGAAGTAGTCTTACTTACATCGGATCCGATAGTTTCTGGTGTTGGCGAGTGATGTCTTTGTTGTGGCGAAGAGTTATTCGAACGATCTATAGTAGCGTTAGCTGGTAATGGTGATAAATTGGAATAACCTCCATTACCTGTTAAAGGGATAGCTTCTTTTGGCATCGTAGAACCATTATTACCATTTCCCGTCCTATAACAATATGATATGATTGTAATATAAAATAACAACGGACTTATGTCACACAAGAAATCTAAAGGCAACTAAAAGTTAAGCGCCAGGATGCGCAAATATTTAATAAATATATTTTTATTATATTAAAAATCTTCGAATATAATATTAATAAACCCGAATGTTTCGATTCATTTTCGAGCTATCAACGGAATAAAATGAACGATATTATAAACGAATAACTTGAAATCCCAAAGATCAGTGTTACGGTAGATGTCAAACTTTATATTTAGAACGATTGCAAGATCCGTAAATTACCTATATATAGGTGACATCTTCACATATTATCATAAATCAAAATTTAAAAAAATCTAAAAAAATCTGAGCGAGAATTATTCGCTATAAGAAATATAATTCAGAAAACATGTGCATTGCGGTAAAAATTTTCGCCGGTCATAATAGTTAAAATATAATATATAAGCACCAAGAAAAATTTCGAAAATAAAAAAATCTTTCTTTTGACACAAGTAAAAAACAAATTTAAAATATTCATAATCGTTTTAATATAAAGTTTTGTAGAGAAAAAGTTTATTAAATTCAATAATACAGAAATATCTTCCTAGTAAGAAGAAAATATATATAAATATAAATCTTGCAAAATTATTTTCAATAAAATTTGCAGATGTACATCTCTCATAATTATTAATTATTAAAAACTTTAAAAAAAGTGAATGATTCAAATTATGAATGCATAATATATTAAAAAGGGAAAAAGAAAAAAGAAATTAAAATTTTATTACATAAAAATTAAAAATTAATAAGCGATAAAAAATATAGAATAAATAAAAACGATTTATATGTTATATATCTGCAAATAAATAAAATTCAAACAGAATTAAAAGTCTTTTTCTAACCTGTGTGAACTTCTTAATACACGTTGATGATGCATCGCTCTTTCTTCTCCGTGCAAAGTTCCACTAAAATCTTTCTTGTCTTCTCCTTTTACGCCAATACTACCTTCCGTAGGACTAGTAGTACCGCTAGTTAATTGGCTTTGTTCTTTTTCAGTCGAATCGTTACTGTTTGAACTAGCCACTACATAGGGTAACTGATGACTTCTATTCGCAACATTTTTACCATTTCTATTGCCTTGTTCCTGTTCCGATGCTGTACTCTGTGGTATAACTATCTTTAAAGGTGGTACTTTAGGAGCAGAATTAGAATCGGAACATTTTGATCGATCTTCTTCGCCATCAGATTCAGGTAGTGGAGTACCAGTTTTCGTGATTGTTGAACTAGAAATATTTAAAGGTTTCGGGCTACTAGCCATCGAAGAGGTACTAGGACTCTTTCTATCCGCATTTACGGAATTGGTATTTTGATTTCCTTTACCGGTTACTGTCCCAGATCCTTGCTTACCAGATTTAATACACTAAGAACAATTAAATGTTATAGTTAAAGAAAAATTTGCAGTCAGATAATTTTGATTCTTACCTTCTCACCACTATTGGCAGCGTTTCTACCAGTACTTTGTCTTCCAGTTGGATTATTTTTCGTACTCTCTTTTGCGTTCTCAGAATCCTTACGCTTTTTTCGTCGATTTTCCTCGTCTTGTTCCTCTGTATTGTCACCTTCGTAAATACGTTTTGACGATGGTGAAGACGTTGGAACGGATAAAGTCTCATCGGAAGAAACTAATGGTGCTATTGTTGCTTCATTGATAGATGTCAATGAGTTGCCAATAGTAGACGCGCTACTTCCACCACTTTGATTACCTTGACCATTTGGACCAGAGGGTTTGCCGCCACCATCTTTGTCTTTGTCTAAATTAGGATTTGGAGACGAGCTTGCACCTCTCACTGGTGTTGGCTCTTTTGAACTTTTAAACTCATATATATCACCACTTTCAGTAGATGATGATGCATTGCCAGTGCCTGATGCGGTACTTGGATTTACCGACGAGGCGTTGACTGGCATCTTTGACGAAGTTTCCATTGAACCTTGACCCTGTATATTCATTAATAAAATTTTTATCAAAGTAGATATATAATATACTGCATATATTGTATATTTACTTTAATAAAACTTAAAATCCAAATAAACATAAAGTAATAGTAACATTAATATTATAAATAATTTAACTGTTGTGTACAAACATTACATTTATATTGCTGAGTGGAAAATTATAATATTTGTATAATGTTAGTGTTTCTTGAATTTACAGAGATAATTAAATTCGAAATCATATTTATGTATCAATTTATGTATCAAATCAATTATGTATCGTAACGAATGTTCCTTCCAACTTAAACTTTAATTTCAAGACTAAATTTAGTGAATAATTTAGTAAATTTCAAATTAAGATTGTTTCAATAATTACTCAATAAACATGAAATAACAGTACATATTACATTGATAGATATATTACATTGATTTTTCGCAATGTAATCATATACAACGTGAAATATTCATATTACTGAGTGACAATTATAATATTGATATAATGTTACTGTTAGTTTGTGTTTACTGGATATTTGATATTTTATAATGTGAGAAATAAAATTTTATTTCGTATTTGTATCTAAAAAAGAACTTAAGGAAATCTTAAAGTGACAAACAAAGTCCGATAAAAAAGTATCCAAATAGGTATATTTATACGTACGTGCGCGCGCGCGCGCGCACTACTGCATTCAAAAAGTACTCTAAACTTTTAAAATAAAATATAAATGATTGGTTTAATATTCAACGATATTTATTGTATCGCTTTCAAAGTAATCTTTATTGCCTACAATGTATTTGCCAACGTTTTTTTCCAATCTTCAAAACAGCACTGATATTTGATTTCTAATACAGCCTTCAAAACATGCATTGAATTTTGTTCTATTTCTTCGACCTGAAACGATGATTTTAAAGCATTTTTAGTTTTGGAAATAGCAAAAATCACATAGTGTATTATCAGGTAAATATTGAAATTTGTGAAATCATATTTCTTAAATATTTAGCAAAAAGCAAAATTTACATATAAATATCAAAAGGATTATTGTGAGAAAAAAATCCAAATTATTTTGCTATAATTCTGATCGTTTTTTTTCTTCTTTTTTTTTATATATATATAAACTGCCTCATACCAACGTTAATATAATATAACAAGAATATAAACAAAGTTTTGCTGATAAATAAACAATATTAACAATAAAGCCAAATAAGAGTCAAT